GCAGGTCATACTTGCTTAATGTTTTTTTTTTAAGTTCTTCATTTGAATAAATATTTAGACAAGATTAAACACTAGATTTTTAAATGAGAAATTTAAAAGTTAATAACTTAGGCCTACTTCCTTTTTTAATAATACTCGCATAATTACACATAACGAATGCAAGCAAATACTGAATTTAAACCAAGTTTAAAATGGTGCTAAAAAGGCATTCAACAAAAGATTTTTATCTTCTTTATTTTTACAGTATACTATATACACATGAACTGATATTGAATCGAGATCGAAATCCTCTGCTATTTTTATCATCTATCTATCTATCTATCTATCTATCTATCTAAAGGTATAACATCTGTAATCTCTCTCTCTCAATTCAGTTCAATTCGATTCAAATGAGCTATATTGGCATGACTGTGTAAAATTTCACAATGTTGCCAAACATAATATACAAACATTCTGGTGAATAAAAAATAAAATAAAAATGAATAAATAAATTAACACACATTTCCATGTCATCACAATGAAAACAAAAAGACAAAGTGAATGAATACAGAGAGCAATTGAAATGGAAAAAAGGGATCAGCCTTTGTCCCTCATTTGATGGCAGGAGGACATGTACTGCGCTGCCAGGTGGATAAACTTTTCTTTCTCTCCCAGAATATACAAGAGTTTCTCTATGTTGCTTGCTTACAGAGGCGGAGTATTTTTACTTTACTCAAGTAAATTTAAAAAGTATCTGTAGTTTATCAGAGTGTTGCGTAGTGCAGTAAAAAGTACAATATTATGCTTTGGAATGTTGTGAAGTAACGTTTTCTAAAGAAAAACACTCTTGATAAAGTACAGACACCTGAGAAGTACTTTTACAGCAGAGTAAAATTACTTCACTACTGTCCACCTCTGCTCGCTTACACTATTTGTTTGAAATAGGCATCTCTAATGTTATTATATTTGCTGCACTGTGTGAGGACCTCTGGCTCCGTCAGTGCAGTGTGAACACATCTCTGGCTCTCCAGCTCTGCTTGTGTCGGCCCATCTGTGTTCATTAATACGATATTTCATCAGCAGCTTTCTCTGAGGATAATCTTTAATACTGCTCAGATATGGTGCCAATTTATAATCAGATTTTATTCTGTGGAAGTAGTTAATTTCTTTAATTGAGTTACTTTATGGTGCCAATCATGAATGTATTCTTTCTGGGTTGTTTGTTTCTGTTTCTTTAATTTTTGAATACCTAAACCGAATTGTTGAATCGATTTTATGTTTTTTCCACTAAATAGTGCATGGGGTCACTCTCTGGGTGGTTTTTCCCTGTATGTGAAAGCACTGTGATGGTAGCTATCTGTCGGGGTGTCTGATAGGTGGAAGCAGAACTTCGCTGCTCTCAGTGAGAGCAGAGGAAATCTGCCCAGTTCTGCCCTGCAGCCGAGACTTGGGGCATTTCTATGAATTCCTATGTTTCTGCAGAACTCAAGGTGGAACATTTCAACAGGGTTTTTGTCCCATGATTCATAGTTTAGTTTAATTTTGGGAGGAAGAATGGGTTTGATGATGCTATCGAAGATTTTCAGCCACAGTTAAATGGGTGAGTTGAATTTGAACAGTGGTTTTCTTATAGGCCTACTGTAAAAAGCCCTGCGTGCCTTATCCGTCAGATCTTTTATTGAACTATTGAACTGTCCAGAGGCTGAGATGGTCAGACCCAAATAATTATAACAGGTGACATGATTAAGAATTTTCCCCCCAATCATAAACTCTTTTTTTTTTTTTTTTTGTCAGCAAGACAATTGGGCTTTTTCTGAAAGATCATGATTTTAGAATTCTCCATGTTTATCGGTAAGGCCCAATCGATGCTGTACTTTTCCAAGATGGAGATGCTTTGGTGCAGCGCCTCTTCATGAGGCGACAGCAGCAGAAGGTCGTCGGCGTACAGGAGACACTTGATTTCTCTGCCCTCGAGGGTCAGACCAGGTCAAGAGGACTCTCTCTCTCTTATTTTTCCTCAAGTTGTATCGAATAATATTTTTGGTGTTTTGACTGGATCTTAATTAAGATTGTTAAATAAAGTAGCTTTAAATTTCAAAGATTCTCTCTCTCTCTCTCTCTCTCTATATATATATATGTAAATTAGTTTGAAATTGAGATTTCCAATGGAAAAGTAATATAAATTAACACAATGTTAAAAGTCAAAGTCAGTACAAGTTGATTAATACTTTTTTTACTCTACAATATTTAAATAACTAGGTATTACTCTTTGTGAATGCTTACTTACACACACAAATAATTATATTATATAATTAAATACAAAAAATAAATACAAAATAAATAAGGCTCGGCAACCTCTATCGCTAAAAGGAATAAACCTTTTAATTATTAGCCATATAATATTTTTTTGTCATCATTATACACTTTCTTTGCAGTGTTTCAGAACTGTGGAGACCCCGTAGCGACTCCACTACTCCCTATAAATGGTGCAATATCCGTGCGCTTCCCCATATAGTCCCATGCAAACTTCGACATAACAAAGATAAACACTGCTAAAATTAATACGTATTTAGCTCACATTACATCTCTTGTCGCAATCGATAAAACGTCAATCGTGTGTAGCTGTTTTAGCTTTTATACAGTTTTACTCTAAATGTACAAAAAGAAGTTCCGGTTAGATAAAATCGCCGGAGATCCACATGTTCTTCCTTTCCGAGTGAATGCCGAAGTCGCGAACGGACCATGTCTAGCGGTTCTGCTGATTACAACAGGTAAAATCGTTATGACACGTAACCTTCATTCACTTTATGTCAAATACTGTCCATAAATGTGTATCTTCTTGAACTAGAGAGGCGTCGGGCTAATTATAGCGCCGGTGCTGTGGATTTTGACACGGCGCAGGCCGCGCAGCTAACTGAACTAACGCCTGTTAGCTGCGTATGCTTACATGTGTATTCTCACGTACTCCGCGCTCATGTGTGTCTGACTAAATTGGCTATTTTAATACTATTTTTTTTTGTAAGTGCTGTTATTAAGAACCGAAACGATGACTAGTAAGTTATTTAGGCTTCACGCCCAACCTGAAATCTAACTCGTGGCCTCCATGCTTGAGGCCTTGCATTCACACCGCGTTCACTACCTTTAAATATTGCAGGTGTATTTCATAAAGTCGTAGTTGTTTTTTTTGTTTTTTTTTAGCCATTTTTATCGGGAGCTAAATAAATGATAATAAAATAATTATGGGTCGTAGAAATCGCTTTTAGAACATCAAACGTGACGAGGTGATTCTACTGTAACAAGTCGGACCAAATTTGGGCGTAGGCTTCAAGGTAGACCATGACTAAGTTATTTTCACTGAATACAACCTATTATTCGCTAAAACGGTTATTTACCGCTTTGATTGTTAACGGTCGTCCACGTGGCATTTTTGGAATGTGCACTCGCTTGCACGCGCGTTTCCTGAAGGTTCGAGTGATACTAAAAACTGCTTGAACTAAAAGTTTATACCCCTTTTTTTTTTTTTTAAGCTCACGAGATCGAGACCATGGGGGGCCTGAAGGAATGGAGCCTGATGGTGTCATCGAGGTTTGTATTCTAGTGAAGTCTGGAGGGGTGATTTAGTGCTTCTAATAAATATCTGGGTTGGTGATGAAGTTTTTTTTTTTGGTCAATCCATGTACTTCCCTTATGGTGCCGTCACATTACCTGGGCCAAAAAACTGTCAGTAGTGTAATAATGCATGAATCGCAGCTCACATACATCACTTTTTAAACCAAGCAGCTTTGTTGGTGAGCACGGCAAATGTGTTGAACACAAGCAAAATCTGTGTGATTGCACAGATTCCTGTAAAGCCCACTGGATTTTAACTAGCAAGAATAAATGTGAGCACACCTTTACATGTTGCCATCTAAGTTTCCTAGTTGGAAATTGGACATGAATGGTCTCAAGTCACATTTGTGACTGGGGAAACTTGGGGACGATTTTGAGAGTTGGGTGGGTGATAGGACCGAAATCTTGTTTCTGGGTAACAATATATATCACAATATAGTTATTTTTTGCTTTAAATAAGGTCTTTATGACATCAACCTTTTGATACCATAGAAATGTCATAATTCTTGTCACGAGTATCACAAACTAATACTAGCCTCAATTTAAAGAAACAAAACTCAAGCTCCCTGAAGACAAGTAAACAGTCAGTGATTAAATAAGAAACTAATGCTGCAGTAGGTCCGTTTCCATTAGATTTACGCAAAACTTAGGCGATATTTTATAAATGTCGATAAAGTATTGCGAAATGACGGCGTTTCCATTAACCAATGTTATGCGACTAAAAAGTAACATTTTGCTTCTCGCGATAAGTCATGGCAACGGATTTTGAAGCATTGTGGCCGCAATCAGCTTCAGTGGCCGTATCAGAGCCACACTGCACCGCAGACGTGTGCAGTGTAAATCGTTTAAGCATTAATGGTAGGGAAAGCCCCTTATACTGGAGAGCAGCCATGTATGATGTGTTTCTTGGAGGTTATAGTACATTGAAGAATGATCATATGACTTTTTACATACGCCATGTGACCTGTAAATGCGAAAAAGCTGTTTCCATTGCAGTTTTGTGAATTATTCCTTTTTCGCATTGCCTGAAAAACCACCTCATGCGAGCGTGTAAATTTTTTTGCGATATATGGGCATTTTTGCGAAATTGACGCGTTTCCATTAGGCGTATTTCAATTTGCGCAATTTGAAGGGTAATGGAAACGTGCCTAGTGACACAATTTTTTTCCCCCACAATATCTATGTTGAATTCTCTTGCCTTCACAACCATTTATGCATGTATAAATAACCATTTGATGCATATTACACGGTGAAAACAGCATTTATTTGACTGATATTTCAGAATTGTCAGCAAACTGTCCAGATAATATGGTGAATGTATACAACAGCATGGGTAATGATAATATGGTTGTCAGATAATACATTTTATTCATTTTCAGAATCTGTTGGATATTCATTTAATATCACCAAGGCGGCATATTCTGGCAGTAGCCCGATTCAAGGTACTCTTTTGCTGTTCTTCCTGCTCCATCAGTCATTAAATGTGGATGTAATTTTAATTTGTATATTTTTTTTTTGGCAGGAAGTAATTAGTTAGTGCTTCAGCCAGAATAGTTTACTTGAGTACAAGAGTGTTTACTGTTAGTGGTTGTAAATGAGATTTTAGTTAATGGTTTGGTTGTTGGACTGCCAGGTGAATTCCATGAGATGATTGTAGCAAAATGGAAAAGCTGTGGACAAAAGTGAGAGATGGTATTCTGTTATTGGGACTGTCTTATGGAGATGACCTTTTCATCTGGTCATACCTGTCCAATATTTGGCTTTATTAGTGCACGGTGACCATCAAACATCAGTACTTGAGGAAATGAAGCATTCTTTTTATTTTAAATGTTTTTCTTTTTTTCTCTTCTCTCTCGCTCTCTGCTCTCTAGATTCAGAAGGTTATCCTGGCCTTGGGTGACTACATGGGCGCTTCTTGCCATGCCTGCATTGGAGGCACCAACGTGCGGAACGAAATGCAGAAACTCCAGGCGGAGGCTCCACACATCGTCGTTGGCACGCCAGGCCGTGTGTTTGACATGCTGAACAGGAGATACCTGTGTAAGTAGTGAATGCAAATAAATTGGACTAAAACCGGCCTGCCCAGTTGGGATGCAGTATGATATGATGGTATCATCTTTCGGGACTGACCTGTTATGGAGACATTTACAACTTAACTGATCATACATTTGACCACCATGTTTTAACAGTTTAGTAAGGGTTTGAATTACACTAAGTTTTTTTTTTTGTTGTTGTTGTTTATAGCTCCCAAATGGATCAAGATGTTTGTCCTTGATGAGGCCGATGAAATGCTGAGTCGTGGGTTCAAGGATCAAATCTATGAGATTTTCCAGAAGTTAAGCACAAACATCCAAGTAAGTCCATGTCTTGATCCCAGACTCTCAATGGAGGTGTCTTCCGCTCAAAAGAACTGTGCTAAAATTGCAGATTCGAGGTTCTCCTGGTTTATGCAATAATGCTAGCAGAGTATCGTGTGGAAGAAGAGCAATAGCCCTGCACCGGAAATGAAACCGAGTCGGACCTCTTTCTTAATGTCCAGTGGCTTATGTTTCAAGGTCCAGAGCAACAATACATTTTCAACTGGAAGAAATCTTGAATACCATATAAAAAAAAAACTGACTTTAAACTTAAAAAAAAAAAAAAAAAAGTCAAACTGGAGACATTCTGTGCTGTTTCCAGGTCACTCGTCAAATTTGTAACTCTTTTCAGTCAAATGTTCTCGCTTCCATTGGAAATGATGTAATGAGAACCTTGTGCATCAAATCATGCTGAAGAGCACAAGCATCACATGTTAGCCAGACTTTAATGACAGCATCACTAAATGCAGAATCCTTCACTAGTGTTCTCAGAATTTAACTGTTTTTGTTCATTCTCTTAACAGTGTCTTTTGTTGCCAGGTTGTGCTGCTTTCGGCCACCATGCCTGCTGATGTGCTGGAGGTGACCACCAAGTTCATGCGTGAACCTATTCGCATCCTGGTGAAAAAGGAGGAGCTGACTCTGGAGGGTATTAAGCAGTTTTACATCAATGTAGAACGAGAGGTGAGGAACTGGTTGTCTCTTTTTAATGTCTCATGTCCCTTCTTTTAAAAAGCGCCATGCTAAAATCACCAGCTCAAGGCCTTCTGGCCTTGCTCTGGTGTTCATGCTAGTACTGGTTAATCTTTAAGAAGGAAGAGCAAACGCACACGTTTGGAAATGAGTCTAGGACGGACCTCTTTCTTAATGTCCAGTGTCCAAGGTCTCGAGATTTTGTGCCATACGTATTATGAAATCAGGATGTTGATGTAGGATGACACCTTGTGGTGATTCTCCGCTAATGCTAATTTATAACTTATGCTGTAGGAGTGGAAGTTGGACACGCTGTGTGACCTCTACGAGACCCTTACAATCACCCAGGCTGTTATCTTCTTGAACACGAGAAGAAAGGTTGACTGGCTGACTGAGAAGATGCATGCCAGAGATTTCACAGTGTCTGCTCTGGTGAGTTGATGTACATGCACGTTAATGGATGAAATGTGAAAAAAGGTTTAATCGTTAATGGTAGGCCAGCGATTGGTATACGAGACCGATTGCACATTATGATGTTTAATGCTGGATGAAGTATGAAATGATGGTCTACCATCTTTCGGGACTGACCTCTTTTATGGAGAGATTTGTTTCTAAACATAACTGATCGTACTTGTCCAGAGTTTCCAAACCAGTGTGACGTTTGTGATGACTTGCATTGGTTAAAGCAGTCTCTCCGTTTTTTTGTTTTGTTTTGTTTTTTTAGCACGGAGACATGGATCAGAAGGAACGAGACGTAATCATGAGAGAGTTCAGGTCTGGCTCTAGCAGAGTGCTCATAACCACAGATTTACTGGTGAGTAGGGCTTCTGTTTTTAGAATTTCTGAAAGGCTTGTTGCATTCCCCCAAGCATTGGGACAAATGGCCATAAAACTAAGATATACATTAAAGTGATTTGAAGTTGTAAGAAGATTCAGCACTAAGTTGCTCATTAAGTGTTCATGAATTGTGTTTCTACTTGTATGTGTAAATTGACCGATTTTGAATGAGTTTTTATTATTGAAATTGTTTCTAGTCCTCTGAAAAAAACTATTGTATGCTAGTAATATCCATGGAAAAGTTAATAGTCTGTCCAGAATCAAAGTTTTTATTACAAATGGCTTTTTAAGTTTTATATTTGTTGTTGTTGCCTGGAAATTAAATGGCTGTAGAAGGCTTGGTGTTAAAGGACTACAATAAAAAAACAAACAAAAAAAAACATTCGAGTTGTGCATCTTTAGCATTACTGGCCCTGATATCCCTGTTCCTCAGGCTCGTGGGATTGATGTGCAACAAGTTTCACTTGTCATCAACTATGACTTGCCAACAAATCGTGAGAATTATATCCATAGGTGAGTAAAACTTTCAGGTGTCGACACTGTCTGCGTTTAACGATTCATTTTTAATGATGATGATTTCGCTATAATTGTCATTTCTCAGGATTGGCCGTGGAGGTCGGTTTGGGAGAAAAGGTGTAGCCACTAGTCCTCTGAAAAAAACTATTGTATGCTAGTAATATCCATGGAAAAGTTAATAGTCTGTCCAGAATCAAAGTTTTTATTACAAATGGCTTTTTAAGTTTTATATTTGTTGTTGTTGCCTGGAAATTAAATGGCTGTAGAAGGCTTGGTGTTAAAGGACTACAATAAAAAAACAAACAAAAAAAAACATTCGAGTTGTGCATCTTTAGCATTACTGGCCCTGATATCCCTGTTCCTCAGGCTCGTGGGATTGATGTGCAACAAGTTTCACTTGTCATCAACTATGACTTGCCAACAAATCGTGAGAATTATATCCATAGGTGAGTAAAACTTTCAGGTGTCGACACTGTCTGCGTTTAACGATTAATTTTTAATGATGATGATTTCGCTATAATTGTCATTTCTCAGGATTGGCCGTGGAGGTCGGTTTGGCAGAAAAGGTGTAGCCATCAACTTCGTTACTGAAGAAGACAAAAGGATTCTTCGAGACATTGAGACGTTTTACAACACAACTGTTGAGGAGATGCCCATGAATGTCGCTGACCTGATTTAAACTTTGGAGATTTTAATGCGGGGATAGCCGTTGAATGATCACTTCCATTTGCGCTTATTTTATTGGAAGAAAAAAAACTTGCTCTCCTCAATGCTGGCTGCGGATCCGAATTAAGAATTCGATACGTGACGTTGACTCGCTGTGTGGACTGTTGTAGACTCCAACCATATCAGTATTTACTGGTGGTGGTATTTACAAAACATGGGTTCTTTACATGTATTCTTTTTCAGGTCTTTTTTCCCTAGTATGTTCAAAATATACGTGTTGGATGTTCTTCATCGTTTAGTAACTTACTTGTGGACTAAAAGATACAAGTGCTGCATTAAGTCTGCCAATTATGTTATGGTAACATATGTGTGCAGTTTAACTTGGTTCACTTCACCTATTTAGTAATATAAAGGCACTTTTTAGTTTTGTGCAATGTATACTTTAAATGTATATTGTTTTATCAAGTACTTCATTTTGTGAAGTCCTCTTCAAAGGTGGGTCTTAACGATGTTCAATGATCCATGTAGTGTTTGGTCCATTTGACTAAATAAAGAGGATGATTATTCTGTCCGTGAATTGTTGTCCAGTGTCTTTTGAATTCATTCATTCCACACAATCGGAGTAATTACTGAATTTTCTTTTCTATAAATGAACGATTTAAAGTACTGAATAGAAGTAGAACCCTTTTAAAATTTCTGTTCAAAGCTGGAAGATTCACTATTTGGTCTGACGAATGCGGACACCACACCCTTATTCACTTCCTTTTATTGATGGAAAAATCCTATTGGGTTTTTGTTGAGGGAACCAGGGGTGCGTTTCCCAAGAGCACTGTAAGCTAACTATGCTCGCAAGTTCCACTGAACTCTGGGGAAACGCACCCCGGGGCGGTTAACTTCCAGGTTGGCCTACAAAAATATATCATCTCTGCAGCACTTTACTAGTAGAGGGTGTCCACATACTGTTGGCCAGGTAATGTATATGTGCGAGCCCTTGCTGGACAATAATCAGATTAACCTTTCTTCAGAAAGTCATTTGTAAGAGTTTCAAGTTTGTACCTTCAAACGTCTCCTGTTGAGCACATTTGAAATACAAATCTGCCAATTTTCGTGTGTGGCACTGGCTGCAGAGGACACATCCTAAGCCTTAAAGTGTCCAGTAAAGCAAAACTAATCCATTAGAAGAACAAAAACTGCTTATCATATTGTATTCAGGACTATATTCAGAAATAATTTTATACCAGGCTTATAAGGTGTATATGTCGAAGACCGGCTGAGCATAGTCAAATTAATTAAATATAAATATTCTGGACAGGAGAAATTGAATCTGCTTCTATAAAGAAAGCACACATGAAAACCGCAGCACAGAAATATATTAAAAGACACTGGTGTTGACCTTGGGAGTGTAATGTGTGGCATGATAGAAGAATGTTTTAAAATGAAAAAAGTGAAAGTGACATGACATGTGGCCAAGTATGGTGACCCATACTCGGAATTAGTGCTCCGTATTTATCCCATCCAAAGTGCACACACACACACAGCAGTGAACACAAACCCGGAGCAGTGGGCAGCCTTTTTTTTTTTGCTGCGGCGCCCGGGGAGCAGTTGGAGGTTCGGTGCCTTGCACAAGGGCACCTCAGTCGTGGTATTGAAGGTGGGAAAGAGCGCTGTACATTCACTCCCCCCACCTACAATCCCTGCCGGTATGAGACTCGAACCCACAATGCTGGATCCATTTTAAGACATTACTAATCCTTATCTCAAAATCAATCCAAATAGTATGTGGGTTTGTAAAGGGCTACTATTTAGAAGCACTAATAAACAAAGAATTTGAGATTTTTTTAAATATACAGGGTTTGAAATTAACTTTTTCACTCACCAGCCAATTTGGCTACTAAATTTTTAAATTACCGGCCATTCATAATTTCTACTAGCCAAAAAAATTAAACAAATAAATTACGGAAAAAAAGGCCGGAGGTAAGCCAACAGCTTAAGGCTGTCCACACTGGATGCGACAAAGTGACCATTGCAAATCATTTGTACTTTGTCAAACAGTAGGCCTACGCCATAAATAGAACGAAGCATCAGTTTACTGTCGGGGATTTGTCGTGCTGTGCTGCGCCACATCCAGTGTAGGCCGCATCACCGATTATAATGGGTTCTATAGTATTTTGTCGCATCTGGTGTAGACACGGTGCGAGTCTTCAGGCATTTTTTGACTTTTCGTTATTGCTTCAATGCAAAGGAAACCAGTGCGCCCACCACGCCATTATTTGTTGCGTAGTGACGGGTAGCTACATCGCTGGGTATGTTCAAGTAAGCTAGATGCCCAGATCTGCGCAATTAGGCTTATTTAAATATATCATGATGAGTCTCGAGTTCAGTATTTACACTAAATCTGCGCAGATATGGCTTACATGAACTTCCTCAAGAAATTAATTAGTAAACATAATTTACGAAATATAACCCGCCAAACTGGCAAGTGATTTGACAGCGTTACCCGCCACAGCTGATTTTTACCCGCATTTGGCGGGTGTTAATTTCAAACCCTGTTAATATATATATCTCCATTTCCAGTCAGACCTGGAATGGACTGGCCATCCATTCATGTCAGGGCTTTTCGCTGCCTTTGGCCTGAGGCACTGGGATAGGCTCCAGTATCCCTGTGACTCTACACACATGAAGTGGCTTGAAGAATGGATGTATTTAATTGGGCGCTGTCTCTTTAAGAGCAATTATGTTTTTAGGCAATCAGCATTGATTGTGAATCTAAGCCCTGCCCTGCTGTAAATTGTTGCTTTCAATTTCTTTACATTTAGTTAAAATATCAGTTCTAAACAAAGACAATCATTTTGAATTTGATCGAGTTCAGCTGTTGGTTGTAAAATAGTAGCTGTTAGTAGTATATATATATATATATATATACACACACACACACACACACACACACTTTCATTTCATCTTAATTTTCAACTTTATTTCATGTTAATTAATTATACATGAATATAACTTTTTTTTAAACTTTTATTTCTTTGAACACACCACTGAATTCCTTACTGAACCAATCTAACCTACTTGTCCTGTGAAATACAGTACAAAGCTACTCTAGTAATCTGAGAGTTCTTTTCAATTTTAATAACTGTTGTATTCAAAAAAAAGCTGCCTTACATGGGTAAGAGTTTGACAGGAATGGTACACATAGGAGCCTCACTTTCGTGACACTGCAGTAGAGCCTCCAAATCAGTCCTGAGGGTATCTGACCAACTTCAGCTTCTGTTACACGCTTCCACATTTCCCGAATGTCTCTGACGTGTCCATGAGAAGTCATCATCTGGTTGTAGATACAAGGGTGATGAGGAGCTTTTCCCTCTCCTGAAAAGAACGCGTGGTCCTTGGGAGCAATGTCTATCACTTTGGCGCAGATCCCAAGGAAGACGTCATCAATGGGAAAGGAAGCGTTTATGGTGAGCGCAGCTTGATAGATTTTGGTAGCCACATCTCTGGAGAGAACATACCCAGATCCAGGGGTGTAATCTGGGTAAGACAACCACGGGTACAAGCCTTGGGACACGTAGTACTTGCTCTCTTTGTCTCGGACAGGTGGTGAACCGTGGTGAACCCGTCCTATCCACAGGTCTTTGGCATTACTGTGGCCAAACCCTTGCAAGAAGTGAATTAAGTTGGGAATGTGAACAAAGACGTCGTCGTCTGCAGACATGAGGAACTGGGCACGGTGGCAGTAGGTTTCTTTCCAGCCAAGCTGCAAAAGTAGCTTCAGAGTAAGATTGTGGAAGGTGTCAATGAAGTCCTGCTGGATGAGGTCGTGATATCTTTGGTCCTCAAACAGCAGTTGCATCTTAAGTAGTCTTCTTTGCTCTGCTTCAGGATGGAGGCCAAGAGCGAACAACACCCTTACAGTAACACCCAGCGTACTTTCAATGTACGCCTCGTTTCCCCAAGTAGAGCGAATGGCTTGTCTTCTCTCAAAGTTCTCAGAGGAGCTTTTCACAAAGAGCAGGAGCAGAACGTCTTTTTCACCACACTTCCCCTCGTGGTTTATTAGGTATCTGCGATTGTTGTACTTGATAGCGTCTTCGGGATTGACTCGAAAGCTTGCGTTAATGAACGTGAAGTTATTGAGAAGATAGCGGTACGAGAAAGACATTACATGGGTTACAATGTTATTGTCAATCTGTTCCCAGTACGCCATGAGCATTAAGGCACTAAAGCATATTATTATCAGCCGTAGTTGGTATTTTTTGAATCTAGGCATTTTGAAAAATATCATGGCTCCTCTGAACTTTGGCTCCTGTTGCAATTCATAAGATTCCTGGCTGTTTCATTTAGAGTCTTAGCGGCCTTCAAACCGTGTCCAAGTCTGGGTTCCAATATGAGACAAGAAAACAGTCTGGTACTGTGATTGTTCAGCTGCCATTGATGTTGAAGCCTTTGTCAAGACAAAAGGCCAATGAGGTGCTTCCGCTGTGATTGTCAAAGTCTGTAAGAGAAACGTACATGACAACTTCAGTGGACTTACTCTGGACAAGAATGACCAGTGAGTGAGATAACACGAGACCAGGAAATCAATCAAAAATTAAGACGCCTGAATTATTTTTGATTTACAGTACATTAACGTAATCTGGCAAGACATTTAAAAGGGATAGTTCACCCAAAAATAAAAAAATCTGTCTCATTTGCTCACCCTTATGTCGACATAATTGTCATTTTTTGGTGAACTGAATTGTCTTCTCCTTATGCCAGGTTCAGACTACACGATTTTAGCCCGATTTTGCCACGATTTGCTTGACGTAGGGTGTCGTGGGGATTCGTAAATGACAATGGGCGTCGGGACGCAAGATTCCATCGTTTCAGCTCGTGTAGTGTGTCATAGTCGACTACAACCGATTCCGCGTCTGCGATGCTTCACGACATCACGACAGAAAGACTAGCATGTTTAATTTTTTTTCCGTCGTCCACGACGAGTTCTGTCACATTGGTGACGTTGACCAATAGCAGCACAGAAGCTCTTTCATACACAGGTTTCAAACATGGCAAAACGAAAGAGAGATGATGGTGCTGCTAGGTGGAATTATGAGATGGAGGAAAGGTTCGTGGAGCTGTGGCAACAGTACTCCTGCCTGTATGATGTGTCATCGAGGGACTACCACGACAGAACAAAGAAAGAAAAATGCTGGCGAACTATAGCGGAAGCGCTTCAGCAATGTTTACACTCTTGTTTTCGGAAGTGAGTCGCTTGTTCCGCCTTCTCGATGACATCACGCGCGTCGTTAAAGACAGCACGCGATGAATGGTTGGGAAGCAGCGTGTAGTCTGACATGTTTCTTGTCCAAGATTTTAGGAGTCAAAATCGTGTAATCTGACACAGTGACTATCGTGACCGACAAAAATATTGTGTAGTCTGAACCCGGCATTACGCTCTCCCATTATAACACTCACAGATATGCCTTCTACTAAGCATATCCAGATTTGTACAGATTTAATAAATGACACAAAATTAATTTGGGAAAAGAGAGTAAATACTTTTTTACTCCTTTACGTACAAATCCAACACAGGAGTGCGACACAAAGTGCAGTGTCCTCCTACTTTCCGTGGTGTTGGATGTGTTTTATTCAAAGTAAATGGTTAAGCAAGCTTGGTTGGTTAATTCTAATGTATCTCATTTCGAAACATCCTGTTTTGCATGAATCTAGTCTGTCCAACTGTCAAACAAGATTTAGTTTAAGATAGTAAATCTTGCCAAGATATTAAAAATGAACCTCTACTACAATGAAAGGCCATTCTCATGATTCACAATTCAAAACTAATTTATCCATTGTATATAATAAAGTGGAAAATTAATTCTGAATGGTGAATCGTGAGAATGATCTTTCAGTTTTTAAGAGCTTATTTAATCTATCTATATAATCTGTTTGACGCACAACTTCTATCCTAAAAGAAAATGCGGCATATCCTCACATCTCAAGTACTGCAATGCAAATGCTATGCAATGCAAATGCAAATGCAAATTTGAAGAGAAAACAGGCCTGAGGGTCTTTGTTTTCTTTGTGGAAACCCAATGAAATCACAGAAAGACTTCAGGATACACTTGACAGGACAAGAGAGATACGTCAGAGCACTGAGCTTCCACCAATCACTTGGCTTAACCAAGATATCAATAGTGTAAATATCATGTTTTAATCACAATAAATGTAGTAGCTTAGTACTTTTTGGTAGTTTCGCACAAGACAATTTAAAATCGCACACAGCCAGACACGTTCTAAGGTTTCCTAAATGATTAGGTACGTCTGAAACTCCCGAATAAGGATGAAAAAAAAGAAAAGTGCTGCTTGAATAATGCTTCAGATTTCATGGAATTATTATTTCCGCAATTCCAAGTAATTCTGGGACCCTGGGTCAGATTCCCTTTTGATTTCAAACACTTTATAAAGATAAACTTGTACAGTACGCTACCATCCACAGCAACAGGATGTTAACCTAATAACTGGATAGTTCACCCAATAATGATGTCATGATTTAGTTATCCTCATGTTGACAAGAAACATTCTTTAAAACCTCTTTTGTGTTCCACTGAAGAAAGTTAGTCATAAAGGTTTGAAACGACATGAGAATGAGTAAATGATGACAAAACTATCATTTCTTTTAATAACAAATGGGAATTTGACAAACTGCACAAAAATTTCACAATGCTAGGAACAGTTAACTCGTTGAACGTGAATAATTTTAACTTCACATAACAACATAATCAAGTGTTCACCACCCTTACGAAAAAGAAGTTTATTCAAGTGTGCTATTAGTATACTTCTTTTAAACTAAAAATAGGAAAGTATACTTTTAGTCTACTTTTTATGTACTTCTCAGAAATGGGCTTTATGTACTTCTCAGAAATATACTTAAAATGACATTTAAGTATACTTGACTTATACTTAGAAAAAGTCTAAATATATTTTAGCTATAATTGTGCTCCTAGAATCCGTGTTTTCATTGTTATACTGTAGAGGGCGCTAGTACACATCTTCTGTACAGAATTTCCAAAAAAACACAAGTGAAGTAGAAACCGAAACAACAGATGCTTCCACATGTATTCTAACACGATCATCAGACATAAAACAGCATCAAAACTATGTAACATTATGGAATAAAATGTAGACCAATTAAGAGGTAATAATGACTGCCAAGCTTTGGGGTGTTGTTTAACTTTGTCTACGTTTTGATTATCATTCTGAATCCAATGCATAGTCCTTTTTCAGCTTTTTGTTCAAAATATTGTTTATTTCTTTATTTTTTATTTATGAAACTTATCCACATTCAAGTGTTTAAAAAAAGAATGCATAAAGCTAGAATAAAATGTTTTTGTTTACAAGCAGAGACCCTGTTCTTTTGATGTTTTGTATGTTCAGATATTCATGTAACAAAATATATACAAATTAATACCTAAATAGGGACATAGTAGTATACTTAAAGTATGATGTAAAGTTCACTTAAAGAAAACTTACGAGTATACTTGCAGTATAAAACTACTAAACTAGTAGTTTACTGAGACTATACTTCAAAGTGTACTAAAAATGCTACAAGTATTTTATTAGTAAACTGTAAGTTCACTTTTAGTATAGTTGCAGTACAAACTAAACATTTTGATGTAAACTAGTTGTGTACTCAAAGTTTACTACTGTTATACTTAAAAGTATACTTTTATATACTAGAAAGTGGGCCAATTTAGTCCCAAGGAGTATTGAAATAGTACACTTACAAGTATACTACTAGTACACTGATATTTGTATACTTACTACATAAAGTATACTTAAAAATATACTTGAACTTTACTTAAGTATACTTACTAAAATAAACTTGAAGTATACTACTTTTTGGTAAGGGCAGTATTCATCTGACTCATTAAAAAATGAAAATGACACTCTGTCCACTCCATTTAAAATAAAAAGTTGGTAAATCTTAGGGTTTTTGAAGGTAATTCAAGTGTCTGGAACACGAACGCTCAGATTTCAAAACTAAGCCACAGTGGCCACAACGACACAGTATCTGGACACTTACTTAAAATTCATTTTATTTGCTTATATAAACACATGTCAAACCAAGTAGCAACAGCAAACAAATGATGCTGGACTTTTTTATTTTAATCAAAACTAACTTTGCTTGCCTGAGCCTCTGAATATTTTTTTTTTAAATGACATTTAACTAAGTGGTGTTACGATGATTTTTAGTGGATATTTGAAGCCCGTTTTTCTCAAGTTCATACAGATGAACGTGTCCAAATACGTTTTGTTTTATAATTTCAAACTTTATTTTATTTTGTTTATTGATTTTTTTATTTTATTGAAATGGTTCAAATTAAAAGTGTGTTTGCACTATATTTAACTTTTACGTATTACTTATGACTCGCAAATGTCGGTAGGATGAATGTGATAACGACTGACAATAATTCGTCAGCCAAAAATATTTTAAAACAAAATTCAACAGCATAAAGAACATAAGACGGACTTACCAGGTCGATCCACAGCTTGTTTTAATTAAAGCTCCAAGCTAAAGTGCATCTCCGTGGTCTAAACATGAACTTTCCGGTTTCAGACATCTGTGACCAGCCAGAGCAACACGCTGTCCAGTTTTTGCACGGTGTCGAACCTTGCCCTGAAGTTGTTGCGAAGTGACCCAACCACAAAGACTGAGTGCATTTCAGTAAAGGACACTCCCGTATTTGTTTAAATTAATGTTAAAGGAGACGCTCGTGGAAATGCCTATTTGGTGGTGACCAGATTTCTGAAATGTACCTTGTTCAATGCTCAAGAAATATCACTTGTTAAATCGAATAACTTTACATAAACAAAATAAGATGAAACAAACATTTTATCATTTTCTAATTGTATTTAATACAGTAGCTACGACTTTTTTCTTATTTTTTAATGTTTGTGCTATTAGAAGTGATTTTGGCTATGCCTAAATAGGCTTATTTGCATTTCAGACTCATTTTGTTTCTGCGAGTTTAATTCTTGATGTCTCGGTTTAATTTTTTATTCATATTGGGGTGTAATATCATCCGCGTGGACGTGGAATTCCAATGTATTGCCAATGTGCGAGACTTCCGATTCATTAGTAAACAACTAGAAGTGAACGATATTTGTGCTACAAACGAATGTGTCTATGAATACGATGGTAGATTAAAATGATTTGATAAAAAATACCAGTTAACTTAGCAGCATCAAGCAGCATAACGGACTGTTTTGGTACAGCTAAAATAACTGGAAGCTAATGACACCGGAAGTCTTGCACATTCAAGTGCTAAATGACCGCTCTCGTGCTTACTTTAAAAATAAGTTGGATCGTTAAGGTAGGCCTGGGCGGGTGGATGTTTGTGGAAAAGCACTGTGTTCAGACCCTGTTATCCTAGTGTAAACAAGCTTGTCCCCACTTCTGGCCCCGCTAAATTTGAAATCGTAGTAACGTTATTCACTATTCACCATGCCAAACAACTGGGTGCAGTGCGCGTTTGTCCTGTGGTGGTAGTGATGGAAAAAAAGTGATTATGCCCTAATCTTTTAAACTCGGTGTAGAAGAACGAATATGGTTATATAGTTATAGTATATCAAGTTTAAAGAAGAGTGCCTAGTTGTGTGTGTTACATCATCAAACAAATAAGAGAACTTAAAATCGTTTTAGCATATCTGGAGATTGCAGAGTGAAGTCCTAGCCCCTGCTGTTTATATAGCATATACAAACAGTATTACTTTCATTTAACATGAAGAGTTAGTATGTGACTACCTTGAAACGGATAACGGAGTATCTTGATAATAGTGCTCATCGCTCCTCCTGCTGTTCTTTGCTGAATTAACGACACACGACTATGTAATCAATGTAGCCTGCAGCCCCCTCTGTTGGTGAAAATGACCACTACACGATTGATCTGACAATTGAAATGCTGTCTTGGGAGCGCTTCGAAACAGTGACTCATTTTGCGACGCAATGGTTTAACTGATTCGGAGTTACATACATATATATATATATATATATATATATATATATATGCAGTGCCTGGGTTTTGTGGGGTATGAACGGGCTGTAAAACAAAGACTGTGAGTAACCAATCAGTTGCTGATAGCCACTTACTTTTATAGTATGGATAAAAAAATTCTATGGACCTCTGTGAGGACCAGAAACCTATGAAAAGATGACAGAATATTCATTTC